CGAGGCACAACCGTTGATACCTCTTGTCGAATAGGTCAGGGTTGGATGAGTGTGTTCTCGTTGAATATGCGGTGGTTGTAGCACCTTCCTTATCCAGCTATCAACTATCGTTTCCACTTTAGGGCTCTACGGTAGAGCTGCCGTGGGTGGTGGAGAGCTACCAAAGTCTTCGAGTCCAGTGGTATTGGCAGCCAGCCTCGTCATCCTCAAGTCGCGGTAGAGTTCCACTTAATCCATCAGTTTCAACCGAGGAAAAAGCTGTCATAACCCGGCCCTGGGGTTCACGGATCGAGTTCGTCCAGGGAGCATACGGAAATCTTCGTCTCATCAATGTTTCCATAGACGATGCCGGTCAGTACTCCTGCGAAGCTGCCTATCCTGCTAGATTGCCACCAGTGGTGTATACCCTTAAGATTCGTGGTGAGTTGTTTGTACCCATTTATAAGTAGCATTTTAGGTCCTTTTTTCTAGGAAAAATTAGTCACCTCGTGTGCCTACTTATAACTTAATATAAGTAGGACTTGAGTTGTAACATCTACTTTATTCCATAATGTCTCTACTGCGTCGGCATCGGGACAAAGTCCCAAATGTCATTGTTGTTTCGGCTTATTTGTCAAAGACTACGAGCTGCTATCTTTTTTGCTTTGTTTTGAGCGCTCGCCTGAGTTTACCCTTCTGTGTCGACCATGGCAGGAGTAACGTTGTTATTGTGCATATCTCTCGCGGGATAAGTGTTTGTTAGGAGACGAATGCATCACATTTAGTGTACCAATAGGGGCCATTCGTTACGGACTTGTTCATTTGATCTCACTTCCATGCATTCAGAACTTCAAGTACCCACGCATAGCCCCCTACCTCCTTCATACTCAATACTTTCCTCTAGTGCATTTCTCCTAAGATCAGGACTCTACAGGGGTTCATTGTCATGACTTAGGGTCTTCTTTGCAGTTATAATTGGTCGTGTTGGTGGGGCAACAGCTTAGTGCTGGCCTAAAAGGGGGAAGAAGTGTCAGAGACCCACTGAAAGTAATGTCGTTGCAAAATCACCAGCACAGAGGCGGAGAAACATGCATGGTTTGGTGTAAATCAAAGCGAGCATCAAATCGGTGTGTCGCTCC